GTAATAATAATAGTAATAATAATAGTAATAATAATAAGGCTAAATAAAACAAAAATATTGGTGGTAATTTTTGACTTTGTGACTTTACAAATGGCACCCCATACTTTACACACTTCACATCTGCTTTGTGTGTTTGCTGCTACATGTTTTATCACCAGCAGCAGCAGCAGCTGGACGGCTGAGAACAGCAGAATATTTCACAGATATTGGAGCTAAATCTTGGCGTGGTAGTAGCTGAGAGTCATTCTCAACATATACTGAGCTTTACATGCTGAACAGCAGCTCTGCTGTTTTTAGCAAAATACATCTCAGACCACTGGACATAGAGGAAATAAACCCCCTCGCCATGGGCATAATTTGTGTGTGTGTGTGTGTATGGGGGGGGGTTATGACCCCTACTATAATTTGATCTAGTAAATTGGCATTATTTGCTCTAAACAATAGAAATGAACTGGTTAAGTACACGGCTGCAAATCTCTTTAAACAACTTTGACCTGATTTTAAAACTTATGTCCGATTTGAATGTTTAATAACTGCTGAAAATGACACGCAGTCTGCTCGTCACATTATGGCTGTATTTGTTGAATCAATACCGTATTTTTCGGACTATAAGCCGCAACTTTTTTCCTGAATTTTGAACCATGCGGCTTATAGTCCGGTGCGGCTTATACGTGGATTTTTTTTCTTCAGCCACCAGGGGGGCTCTTATGCTCCATTTGCTTCAACCACTCGCTTCAAAAAAGAAAGAAAAAAAGAGAAAAAAGAAAAAAAGCGATCGCTTCCAGAGCCGACTGTTGTACCAGGAAGCAGCGATTTAAAGATAGTCAATGGCCAAAAACTCAAAAGGGGATAAAACAGACATTTTTCACGGTGGAATCTGACTGATAAAAACTTTGGAGCTTAATCCAGGACCAGTTTGTGGATAAACGTCTGAAGAGCTGCGGACCTTTTTTTTCCCCTCATTGCACTCCCTGGGGAAGGAATCCCATGCAGTGACGTATGCTGGAGTGGGAGGGCTTTCCCAGCACAGCTTAGAGCCAGCATTACCCCGGCAGGACAACAGATACCACTGTGTGACGCAGCTTTTCTCAGCTTGTTTAACTGCGACACTGAAGAGGACTTCGATGGTTTCAGTGCGCCGGAGGACGATGAATGAGACGTTTTGTTGGACCAGAAA